GGGGGAGGTTTTATTTTAAAATGTCATTATCGTGTTGATGAAAAAAGTAAAACATAAGCAGAATAAACTTCTTCGACTTGAAATCACAAAGAACACGTTACATCCTGTTATGCGTTTTGTAATGTCCTGTGTGTGTCTGTGTGACAGGAAGAGAGGCTGGCCTCAGAGACGGCACTGAGGCAGCAGGAGGTGACCACCCTGCAGGCAGACTTGGACTCTCATCGGACTCAGGTGGGCTCGCTGAACACTCGGATAGAAGATCTGGAAAACGAACTGAGCACCCAGAAGAGGAAGCACGCCGTCAATCTGAAGGATCTGACCAAACAGCTCCAGCAAGGTGACCACCGGACACAAACATGGCTGCCATGAGGCTAATTCCGACAATGGAAGTCATGAGTAGTGACCCCAGACCACCAATCTGCATGTCCTCATGTCCCTGACCTCGGCTGGCGTAGTGTTATGTTATAAAGCTGGATGCAGTCTGTGACGGACCCCCGTACTCGGGATGAGTATGTCCGTCGCTGTCTTCTTCCTTGCTGAGGAGATATTGGAACCCGCTGATCTGTAGCTCCCAGTTTCCCCCGTCACTGGTCAGGACTCAGTGTAGGGTGAAACAAACTCTGGTTTATTGAGAAACTGCACAAACTTTTATACAGCATGTGATGAGATCAGAATATAATCCCATCACATCCCCCGTCCCAGACCATCGGTCTGCTCAACACCACAGGTGTCCACCTGCTAACGAGCTCCAAGCAGCCATAGCAGAAGCCTGGCCAGAATGTCATTGTTCTGAGCTCCCTCGGAGAACAATGGGAGATAACGGGGGATGGTGCTGATAGTCTTTCCATGACCAGGTCACACAGCATAACGCACTCAAACATAACCCAACACCAATACACGTTTAACTTATAAACTGATCACCGTGTCGTCACACAGTCCATATACCCAACGCACTCAGAGCCGCTGTGCCAATGATGTAGTGGACGGATGGCAACCACCGCGATACATGAATGAAAGGATTGACACCGGCAATCCAATACTCATTCTACCCATTCACACTGAGCGATACCGCAGATATTTGCCGCGCGATATCGCTCTCCAGTGCATGACAATGGGGCTCTGTCTGTCGCGGGTTGTGCGTCGCTACAGCAGGACCCTTTTTGGAGCGGATTTTGCCGCGATTCTAGTTTGCTCAATGCAACCATTTGCGCGAAATCGCTCAGTGTGAATGGGGGCCTAATACTGTAGTCCCGGTGTCCATTCTTTTATTCATGTTATAAAGCTGCTCGCACACTCGTAGCACGTGTCCTTCAGGTCTTCGTAGTCAGGCTCTGGGCTCGCGTCAATGACATCCGTTTGAGACCCTTCTCTGGTCATTCAGAATTCATTGACGGGCTTCTCGCCTGCCGTTAGTCCCCGTATGACCCACGCGTGACCGATGTACATAGACTTGTATAGGAATTGAGGAATGCAAAAAAAAATGTGTTGGAAACGAACAGGAGCCTGTCCAGCTTGACCAGCTTTAAGTGCTCCCAGCTTCCTAAAGGCCCTTTCATGTCACAGGCCTGGCCATAGGGAATCATGGCGGTCCTGGGCAACCCTACTTTAAGCAGCAGTGGGCATTTTTCTGTATGAGTAGGCATGGGGCATACCCACCATTCCACAATAGCGCCATAAGACAGAACCGTCCTGACCCTCCAGGGCACGCCATGCAATAATATCACTTATGAATTGAAGGGTCGAGGTGGTAAATGGAGGTTGGGGGGTAATCCGCTCTGCTATATACAAGCATTTGTCTTATAACTACTGTGGGGGGGATCTCCCCCTAAGAAGCTACTGGAGCCAAATCTGTTCCGGGTGGAGTCCACCTTTTAATATAGACAAGCCAGTGTGCCCTCAGCCCAATGTCATATTTTTAGTGAACAGACTGATGAAAGCTGTACATACCTGTCATTGTTCTCGTACTGTGCTCTCAGAAGGAACATTTTCGGGGTGTTAACTGAGTTCCTGATTTCTTTTTATTCCTGCAGCGAGGAGGAGGATGGAGCAGATGGAGAATGGCAGCTATGAGAAGGAGGTCAGCAGTATGGGCAGCAGGTCAAGCTCTTCAGGTAAGAGCCGCTCTATGTGGTTCCCTGTCTCAGTGCTCCCCCTTGTGGCTACAGCCGGACTAACAGCCTGTCTCAGGGCTCCCCCTTGTGGCCACAGCCGGACTAGCAGCCCTTCACTTTTACTGTACACTCCAATGTCATCGGATTTTGTGATTTAAAGTGCATGTAGACCTGGATGCTGCCAGCTAAAAACTGCCCTTTACACAGCTTCCTTTTGTAATAGAAGAATTATCCCAAAAATGGCTTAAAATACAATTTTCTTGAGATATATTTACACCGATCAGCCATAACATTCAAGTGGTGTGAATATTAACATTAATTATCTGGTTACTGATATATTACAATGGCACCTGGAAGTGGGGGGGATATATTACAATGACACCTGGAAGTGGGGGGGATATATTACAATGGCACCTGGAAGTGTGTAGGGGGGGAAATATTACGACACCTGGAACCCTGCAGGCAGAGTTGGACTCTCGGCGTACTCTGAGTCAGAGCAACTCCGACACTGCATAGTCCTTTGACCCGATATACAGATCAGTAAAGTCCAAGAGCGGTGAGACGCCTCGTGCGTTTAGGAACACAAACATCCGAAGTGATGACCTTCGTGATTTCTTCAACGACCGGTTCTCTTTAAGTAAAGAGCTCGCTACGGCTGTGCCGGTTGACATCTATAAATATATTAATGGGAAGCGTGGGACTCGGAAATGTTCAGTGATTGCAGCTCGACTGTCATAGAACCAGCTGGTATTATGGAGAAAAACATTCACACTGGCACAATCTGCCCCCCCAACCCTGAAACGCGTTGGCTGTTTTATGTGATCATTTTGTGAACAATTAAAGCA